AATCTCATTACGAAATATCGAATCAAAGGTAAACATCCAAAAGTATCAGTTCATAAAACTGTCCATACATTTTTTTTATATTATTGTCAATAAATCTAATAAAGTACGCCTTCCAGCGTCTCTATCATTAGTCCCTTAGGAAGCGCAATGATCCGATAAATCTAGATGAACCACGCCCCTTTCATATTTAATCGTTCGCCAGCGACTGTCGTTAGTCACTACGCCATTATGAGCTATGCTTTATTCAATAACGTTCATTCATCGAACCAGTTCAAGTTACTTGATAACTTGCTCGAAAGATATGCTTTAAGGCCTGCGTACACGGTAGACTTTCTGACCCATACAATTAATCTGTTTGTGTAAAAGTTTTTTCTTATAAAACATGAAATAGGAAAGAAACTGATGTCCTAGCTGATGGAAATAATAACCATTATTTATAAACATAAACAGCACCATGGACTGCACAGAATATACTGTGACGCCCCTCATACGTTGCTATTCCTGAGAACTAAGGTGTCCCTTTTTACCGTATGGTCCCGCCATAGAATGGACCGCCCCATCCTTTCCCGTAGATGTCGTAAAAGGCGACTAAATGAATTTAATGGTCAAGAAATGGACAACAGCGCCTCTATTAATAATATGACCAAAACCTAAATGCAGTTGCCCATTCGCCCGCCAAACGTGGCGACTACTGACTAAACTCGTCTTATGATGAAAGCCTGTGAAGGATGATGAGTGACGATGAAAGCAGGTCATTTAGCCCATTGTGACGAATTCCACTAGAAATAACCACAATGGTTTCCAGGAGGAACCGCGTAGAGGTCGATCTGATATTGCTGGTAATGAGTCAGTACTAACAATTCCTTTACCTCCGCTGTTTTTTTTTAATGGGTGATAATGGAATGGTAACCCCGCCTGCGCTATCAGTATACACTGACGGGGCACCAGTGAGGGATGATAGGTGAGGATGAAGCAGGTCAGTTAGCCCATCGTGACGAAACAATTCTTGTTGAGAATTGTTTACGATGGTTTCCAGGGGGAACCACGTGGAGGTCGACCTAACAAGGCTTGTCGTACTAACTTAGGATCCAATTCTCCCCTCAACAGAATGTTATCATCGTATAATAAAGCCGTAAACGTTGACCATGATATCGACATCTTTGGTAATCCTTTAGTGCAGTTTACTAGGCTTATTAATAATATGAATTGGTAGTTAGGTCTTTTCTAATTGTATAATTGTTAGTTAGTATACATTGACGCTTATCTGTGAGAGCTGTATACGCCTTTAATTGATATGTTCATATAGCCTTAAGCTTGGTAGTGAGGAGTAAGATTTTTTTTGTTCAAACTTAGATTTAAGCATTTTGTAATAGTAGTTTTTCTCTTTTACTTACTAATAACATTGTATATTGTCTACTTAATTATTGTGAGCATATTGTTGGTGTGTCTTTTGTAAATAAATAAAAATAAATAAATAAAATAAAATATTGCTATCAATGGGGCTGTCTAACTCCATTACTAACAATCCCTTTCCCCCCTTCCCTCCGCTGTTAGGCTTTTAAAGATATTTTGAGACGCTGCTGCCCATCCCTCTAACATTTAGTTCCTTTAGCCGCCTTTTATGTCTACTACCTCATATAGTAACAAACTCACTTTACATTTATAATATTACTAAGGATTCAGTAATCCCGTTCTTGAGAGATGTGGCGATGAGAACTAAATGAAGATTATATACATTTATGAGATAGTAATCAAATCCGTTTACACCATTGTAAGCAAACATAATAGTTACTCGTTTAAAAAGCAATTTCTCCGTGTAAAAATGTAAACAAACTATACTCGACAATACAAAAGAAACTTGCACAATAGTCACCGTGTCCACGTTGTATTGGGGCCACTAAAACCGCTATAATAATAAGAAATTATAATGGAAACGAATTCTTAAATTTTAAAATAAAATTATAAAAGCCCTCTCTATTACTTAATCAAAATAAAAATTGGTGTGGACACAAATAACAAAACTATGAGTATAAGACATTATTTTTTATAGACAAGTAGCATTTTTTTTTATTTTATACTTATTGTGTAGTTCTACTTTAAATGAATACTTATTTTATATTTAATAACTTTTGCTGTGATTTCGATACATGATGTAACCCCTATAATAAGATATTTTTTGGATGGGTGAAAATGGTATGGTAGCCCCGCCTGCGCTAACGGGATCCGCTGGCGGAGCACCAGTGAAGGGTGATAGATGAGAATGAAAACTGGCCAGTTAGCCTATCATGATAAATTCATCAGGAATTAACCATGATAGTTTCCAGGGAGAACCGCGAGGAGGTCGACCTGGTTGGGTATATTGCTAGCAATAATATTCTCAGTCTCCATTACTAACAATCCCTCCCCCCCCCCCCTATAATAAGATTGTTTTAAGATGATCTTGGCCGTGTGGCTGTTATGACACCCACAGAGAAGGACGGTTTTATGTCTGTAATTTTCAAGATAAAGTTTATACAAAGAAAAATCAATCGGAAAAAATACACCTGTGCGAAGTGGGACTCAAGTCAATAGTCAAAAACGACGCCATTTTGCCCGCACTTCTTTGTTTCTTAGTTTATTTTTTGTTTACTTTTTTGTCTAAATACTAAAACACTATAAAATAAATAAAATCACTCAAATACGTATAAGTACTGTTATTACCAACACATATGACACTCAGACTTCTCTGGCGGCGACCTTTATTATTATATATATACTTAGAAGGAAGTTTATACTATATATGTTTTGTTACTTTTAAATTTGTCTCTTTCTTTTACACTATTTAGTGTTACTACAAATCAATTCAATACTTAAAATAGAGAGGTTTACATTTTTATGAATAAGATGGTTAGACTTTATGACTATAATAATAATTTAAACAATATAAATATTAGGAAAAATTAAAAAAATTATATTCGCTGATTTTATGGCCTTCGGACTATCAAGTTAAAGTCGCGGAATTAAGCTGGGATATTCTCACGCGCTTTCCGCAGGTGCAACGGTAGGCTCGATTACACCGCAAACGTCCTTACAGTGTATTGTAACGACCACATCCTATATTTGATCTCATTTGGAAATAATAATAATAAAAGCTATTATTGTTTTTTCCAAATGAGATCAAATTAGATATTTCGGAAAATAACACTTTTTCTTAATTTATTTATTTCAATAACATATGGTACAAATGTCGGACTTAATGTTAGGAGCATTCTCTACCAGCCAACCTTTGGGATGAACAGTGAAACACGAACATGGTATTTCATAATTATGATAGGAAATAATAATAACAGATATACTTAATAAACGTAATATAAAAAATTTAATTACATAGAATAATTAATAATAATAAACTCTTTATTGCGCACAGTAGAGATGTATACAAGGAGTATTTATACAGAATGTGCATATACAATAGGCGGCCTTATCGCTAAAAGCAATCTCTTACAGACAACCTGGAACGAGACAATTACTGTAATATACATATATATGTATAAAGAATATATATATATATATATATATATATAAAACTAAAAAGAACCGACTTTACTTGTGACAAAACCAATTATTTTTGTTTAAATACTAAATTATTTTGTTAAAATTTCTATGTGACCAATCTGTAAGCATATCTTTTAATATCAAAAATTTTCCAAATCGGTTTATAACTGACGGAGTTAACTAGAAACAAACATAAGAAAATACAATCGATTGAAAACTACTTTTTAAAGTCGATTGGAAATAAACAATTATGAAAAAATACAAAACCAGAGGGAGATTTAGTACAAAAGTCGTTTGCTTGGCACCTCTATTCCATTCGTGTTTCTACCGTGAAGCAGTTGTGTTTGCATGGCTGTATTTCGATTTGAAGGGTGGAATAGGGCAGTAAATTTACACGGTACAAAGAAATAACACCTGAGGAATAGCAACGCATGGGGGGATATCAGGACCAAACAGTATACTCTGTTATGTCCATAGTACTGCTCATGTCTGTAGGCGACGGTTACCACTTTCCATCAGGTGGGCCGTCAGCTTGTTTGCCATTCTAAATTGCATAAAAAAAAATACAACCGAATTGAAAATCTCCTTTTTTATGAAGTCAGTTAAAAATAAACAATAGTAATAAATGTATTATGTGTGTGCATGATTGTAATGCATGTATTTTTTTTTTTTTTGAGTTTAGAGTGAATTTTTACACGAAGCCAATTTGTCGAATGTTTAGCATGACATGTCTCGTAACCAACCATGCCACTGATATTAATAAAATTTTTTGAAACTTATATATTACTTGGCACAACATTAAGTTAAAAATTTTGATTTTGTATATATTATTGCTCACAGCTGTATTACATTACGACAAATATGGATTGGTGACCTCAACAGTATCTTTACAAATTAATTATTCTTAAAACAAAAAAGTTAAAAATTAAAGTCGTTATAAATAAATACTCTTTATTTTTTCCTCTAACAGATTAAAAATAAATTAAGATTGTGTACCACAAAAATACCAACTTAAATACAGCAAAATCAGTTATTTTGTTATAAAAGCTAAACTGTTGAAGCGATTTTGATAAAATTTCTGTAAGACTAATCTGTAAGTATATTCATTTAGAAAAAAAAAAGAATTTTCCAAATTAGTTTACAACTGACAAGGTTATGAGGGAACAAACATAAAAAGTACAACCAAATTTTTTAAGTCGCTTGAAATGAAACAAAAATTAAAAAAAAAAAATTACATGGAATGCTTCCTGGCAATCTTTGGATGGAGAATAGTAATTAAGTATTTATTAAAAACGTTTACATTTAATTTTGATATATTTTTTTTTATTCAATTACGGCCCCAAAATTCACTGTCAATAGCGCCTACGATTTGAGCTATTTCGCGCCAACTTATATTTGTGTCACAGATAATACGAGTATAAAGAAGTGTAATTCTTATTTTTTAATTCGTGACTTTTTTTGTTTAGATGACGAAGGAGGTCACATCAAACAGCCGGGCTACGAATCTAGACGACAGAATGACCTGTACATGCGGCTCGGGCTATTGCTCGGAGAGAGGCGTGGTGCTCGGAATAAGGCTCGGGACAGCTGTACGTCACTCGCCTCGCTGGATGCGCATACGCTCGCCTCACACAATACTAGCCCGGTAAGCACTATGGATTATTATAACATTAAAAAAATGGCAATGGCGACCCAGTACGAGTGAAGGCAGTGTAGGACGACCCTCCCCCCCTAGATGAAGTGATGACTTCCAGTGCATTGCAATCAATGGATGCAGGTAACTCAGGACCGTCTATGGGGAAGGCTTATCTTCAGCAGTGGACAGATAATGTCTGAGATAATATTCATTATTTAAGTTATCATGAGCGTCACAGTATATACCAAGCACCATGGATACCACATAATAGTTATGTCGATAATGCTGTCCAATAGATATTAACTTTTAATTAATTTTTTTATCAGACTTATACAAGAGATTGGTGGCCGTTATTCTATGCTGCATTATACATGGATAGTCCATTTTAAAATAAATCAAATTCGTGATATTTTACTACAAAAATAATATAAAACTATCTTTAAAAACGGTGTTCTGTTGGGTCGGTTTTGGTATTTGTAATTTTGTATACCAAATATATCGTATAAAATTTGTCGTATGGTCCCCGCATAGAATAGGCTACCCCTTCCTTTCCCGCTGGTATCGTAACAGGCAACTTAACGGTCGAGGGATGACCAGCAGCGTTCCTCTTTAAATATCTCCTATCCCTTGGCACATTGGCAACTCTAGTTAGGCTTATCAATGGATAAGCCTAACTAGGGTTGCCAATCCGCCTGCTAAGCGTAACAACTACTGGCAAAACCCTCAAAGGGGGTAGAGAAAGCTTATGTTCAGCAGTGATCAATTAAAGGCTGATGTGATACCTAATCTATAGATTAATATAAATAAATTTATATGTTTTAAACACTTTTAATTTTTACAAGATATCATAAAAAAAAATATGTTTATTTTAAATATAACAGATGTTAGATGCCCTTTTGTAAGTCTACTTAATATATATGTAATGCTTGCCTACCACATATTTAACTTTCTTGTGGTAATGTTGTATACAACAGTTTTTCTATATTTGCAGGTGTCAACCCTAACAGGCTCGTCCGAAGTGGAGGCGGTCACGCCGCTAGGTCGCGACTCACTCGGCTCTCTGGCGTCTATGTCACTGTCTGCAGCCAGCAACTGTTCCTCGTCAAGTCCTGGCAGTAGGCGGCATTCTGTTAATAGTAAGGATCAAAAACAATATTTATTTTTTTTATATTAAGGACTAGCTATCCGGCCCGACAGCCTTAGATTATATAGACAGAGCTTCGAGCCTCAAAAACGTGACAACTTTTTGTCAGCTAATTGTCAAATTAGCTGACTCGTTTTTTTTATCAGTGTTCTATTTTTATATTGTGTGCGTAAGTACGCACACAACGTATCTTGACGTATTATTTAATAATTAAAATGAGTGTTTATATGACATAATAAATATAGAAGTTATAAAGGAATCACTCATAACTATTTATCGCGCAAAATTGTGTAAAAAAGTTGACCCGTTTTTCTCGAAGCATTTCTATGGAGACACTCTAGGTAGTAGGTAGGAGATACACAGGTTACGGTAACCACTTACCATCAGGTGAGTTGTATGCTTGGTTGCCACCTCAGTGATATAAAAAAAATCTAAGTATATAGAGTGACAGTCCCACTCGTGTTTCAACCGTGAAGCAGTTGTGTTTGCATGGCTGTGTTGCAGTTTGAAGGGTAGGGTATGGCGTGAATTTACAGGGTACAGAGGAATAACACCTGAGTCCTCAGGAATGGCAACGCATGGGGGGTATCATGGACGAAACAGTATACTCTGTTATGTCCATGGTACTACTTATGTCTATAGGCGACGGTTGCCACTTTCCATCAGGTGGGCCGTCAGCTTGTTTGCCATTCTAAGTTGTACAAATAAAAAGCGACGGTTACCATATATGAGTTGTTAGATTGTTTGACATTCGAGTATATCACATTCTAATGATATTATAAATGTAAGTTTGTAACGACGGATGAATGCAGTTTGTTATTCTTTTACGCAAAAACTACTGAATGGGTTTGAATGAAATTTGGTACACGGGTAGATTATATCTCAACTTAGCACATAGGATACCTTATGTACTAATTCACGCGGTCGGAGCTTCAGAATATAGCTACTAATAATACTATAACCTCACTTATAACGTTGTAAAGTTCAACTTAAATAACATTCAGTCGTTACACCTAAACTTTTTTTTTTATTTTATTAAAGTTAACAAACAATAATACAATATATAATTATAATAAGATTACATTTAAATGTGATTAATAGTACCACCAACAACGTTAACTACAGATTGCTACATAAAGAAAGAAAGTATATAAACATGCAAATATTGCCGAGAGGTGGAGCTGACCATTATATCTATTAATTAAGTTAAATTATAAATAACATTGACACAACCACATCACCGGTACCAATTATACAAAACAACCAAAAAAAAAGTTATTTAAATATACACATGTATTTTATAATTTACTAATTATGTGCACGCATTACTAAATTCCTTAGAGAGGGAGGAGGTTACTAATTGGTTAGCTACCATTTTTTTGAAAGTTAATGGTTTTAGTAGCAAATATATCAATATTATAAAATTTGTCATTATATATTTTAAAAATTCTATTTATGGGTGAACGAATACCGGAATTGGTGGTTAATATTTCTCTTTTCTCCAGCTTTACAAGGTGGCCGTTCAGAAGAATTAACTCGAATGTCGAGTGGATTTTTCAAATCTAGAAAATCTGCAGTCAGACGATCGGCGCGGGTCAGCAGTAAACAGTCTTCCTCATCTTCGGAAATCAAGAAAGGTACATAAATATCTTTATACCAATCATAGATGTTAGATATCAAATGGAAACAATAAATTTTTTTGGTGATGTTTTGAGAGGGCACTGCCGCCTATCCTTCGATCATTGAGTTCCTTTATTCACCTCTTACGGGAAAGGAAGAAGTAGTGCATTCTATACTGGGATCATATGGACCAATTTTTTTATATAGTAAGGGAATTACAAACTCATTTTTCAGTTTAAAATAACTTCCCAAAGGTTGGCTGTACTTTTGAAATTCGTAAACACTTATTTTTTTTTTTTGGTTGAATATATGAAAATATTTCAAAACAAAAAACAAATTAGTATTTGGTTATTTTATTTATTATAACAACTTAATCGACCAAATCAAAATCTAGTACAAAAAGCGAAGTTAATGCTAGTAGCATTCTCTACTAGCCAACCTTTGGGGTGAACAGTAAAACACGATTGCGGTACTTCGTTATAAGGATACGAAATGATAATAATACTTAATATTCAATATAAACTTAAAAAGCGTAACATAAAAATTATTATTATTAGATCATATATCTATTTAATTCTCTTTTACAGTATACCCATCACTTCCATTAACGTTACGACCGTTGTTCTTCGAAGTTCCATCAACAGATGGCAACGCGTACTTCTCCGGCCGACAGTGGCTGATAAGAGACATGGAGAAGGCATTGGAATCTAGCACATCAGGTTTGTTAAATACAATTGTTTATTTGTATCCACAATTACAGTTTGTCATACAATACCTGTGTCCATCAGAGAGAAGAATAAATGTATAGATAGAAATTTATATAAGTTAAAATATCTAGGTATATTTAGCAAAACACAAACAAAAACAACAAAAAAACATCCTCTCAACCCCTCTTCCCTAGTCTATTTATATCCATTGAAGTCCGAATGAACGTCATCATCATCATTTCAGTCATTATCCATCCACTGCTGGACATAAGACAAATAAACAATTCTGTTTTAATTAAGCCAATGAAATTGGGGCGTTCCAGGAATCCTCATATCTGGTACACCGGGTACGGGTAAGACAGCGTTAATACTACAACTGGTGGAGTACTCTTGCTTCGGTCGGAAGAGAAACTACGAATACGAGGTGTTACGAGAACAATCAGACATACGGGAGATGCTTCCAGAAGAGCTCACCGCTGGGATGTTCACACACCTGGCTTCAAATGTCGTTGCTTATCATTTTTGCCAAGTAAGTTAAAATAATAGGAAGTTTTAAGCGAAATTATAATGTAATATTTAATATATTACCACAATCAACAATATCTACTGAAAATCAAGAGTCATAAAATCTTTACTGACCTTATAATCCATCTGGACAATAATCAAACATAAAAACAATTTTAAGAGAATAAATAAAAGACCATTTTAAGAGAATGAATTTAAGAAAGCAAATAAAAACTATTCTTTTATGAGACATCATTATCTTACAGAATTATCCTATTCCTAAATCTATTTTACTGTTTTAAGTTTTTGTTCGAAATTAATTAATTAATTAATATTGGTCTTGTACTTTCTATAAATGCAGGCGCATATGAAATTAAACTGAAATCTATCCTTTGTCGACATAAATCACGTATAAACTTTTTATTTTTAATTAATTAATTCTATTCCAGGCCGATAACAACAGCACTTGTTTGGTTGGCGAGTTCGTTCACTCCCTCGCAGCACAGCTTTGTCAAGCACCTAAACTGCAGGCATACAGGGAATATATTATCAGTGAACCACATCTAATTGCTTGTTTGTCTCTAAAAGAATGTATAGCTGATGCAGATTTAGCTTTCATGCGTGGTATCATAGAACCTCTTATTATACTGATGAAGAACGGGAGCATAGAAACAGGGAATTGTATCGTATTAATTGATGGACTTTGTGAAGCGGAATATCACAGGCCAGATCACGGTCATACAATAGCGTCGTTCCTAGCTAAACACGTTCCTGAAATGCCTACGTGGCTAAAAGTGATTGCTACAGTCAGAACTCAATTTCTAGAACTAGGCAAACAACTCCCATATACGAGACTGAGTTTAGACGAATCTGACAATGTAAACAAAGACCTTCTGGAGTATTTCAATACAAGAGTACAAGCTACTCCAATCATAGAAACAAATATCAAATGCTCAACAGGCAAGTCGGAAGGCGTCCACAATTCTGTGATGAAATTCGCTCAATACGTCCTACACTTGAGCCAAGGCTCGTTTTTGTTCCTGAAACTAATTTTAGATTTACTCGAAAGAAGTCATATCGTCGTAAAATCCACTAACTATAAAGTAGTGCCAATATCGCTGGCCCAGATATTTTTATTACAATTCAATTTGAGGTTCCCTACTGTCCAATCGTTTGAAAAAATAACTCATATATTGAGCGTTTGTTTAGCAGCTCTCTATCCTCTAACGTTGGTCGAGATATACTATTCAGTCAATTCTTTACTGGTTGACACATTTCTGCCATGGGACGAATTTTGCGATAGATTTGAAACTCTAACAGATTTTCTCGTGAAAAGGATCGACAACACATTCATGTTTTTCCATCCGTCATTCAGGGAATGGTTAATACGGCGAGATGACAATGAAAGCTCAAAATTCCTTTGCGATTTGAGAGCGGGACACTGCGGTATTGCTTTTAGATTGTCTAGAGTGCAAGCGCCTTTAGACTCTGAAAAGACTATGGAATTAGGGCATCACATTCTTAAAGCGCACATGTACAGAAACATGGGGCCAGCTCAATTGGGATTATGTCCAAGAGACTTACAGGCCATGATGGTGGCCACGAGTTCTGCGAATGTTGGTGAAGCAATAGCCAACATGAGAAATATTTACACGCCAAACGTGAAAGTATCGCGACTGATGCTCTTGGCTGGCGGCTCGCCTAATCAGATCACAGAATGCCTTGGAAATGCTCCTTTACTGTGCATGTACGCGTATCAAGGAATCATTTCAATGATTGGATTACTGATCGAATTTGGTGCTGATCTAGAAATGACAAATTCACAGGGCTGTACAGCATTATCTTTGGCTTGTCAAAGAGGGCATACTGATGTTGCTAGAAGATTGATAGCTGCAGGTACGTGTATTGACATAATATGAACTTTCTATGAACATGAATAAAATGTATTATTTGTTTGGATCTTTTATAATATACGATTATTTTATCATTCTAGGTTCATCTCTAAGTCACACGGATACAGCTGAACAAACACCTCTAGTGCATGCAGCTAAGAATGGGCATAGAGATACAGTGATTTATCTCCTTGGATGTCAAACTGGAAGGGACGATAGAAATTCTTTAGATATCGACGGAAGCATCGAACAGCTAGTGCCCGGGTTGAGACACGCGTTAATTGCCGCAGCTCAAAATGGTCACTTAGACATTGTGGAGTATCTTTTAGATACTGCTGAATTAATAGTAAGTCTTATTGCTTATGACAATAATTTAAATTATCTGTGTACAATACAATTTACAGAATTTATTAACATCGGTTCAATAGTTTCGAAATTTAACATGATTAAACATTGTGACACGTTATCTTTATATAAATAATGACGATTTCGTGCGACTTTTCCCGCGTAAATCTCTATATAAAATATCCTATCTGTTAAAATAGGATATAATCTACCCGTTAAATATATTTCATTCGAATCTATTCACACCTAATCTGTTAACACGTAATTAAGTGACAAACATAAATGTTTACAAATTTTCACATATCTAATTTTAGTAGAATTAAGATTTCTTCAGTATAAAGGACTGAAATTCTATAATAGTCCAATTTCACTTCCAGCCTGACGGTATCTGTCCAGTGACGGGCGAGACGGCTCTCACAGCAGCATGTTCAACTGGCAACGTGGCCATTGCCGACGCTCTTCTCATAAGAGGAGCGACCCCTTACTCCTTAAATGCTAGAGAAATGTCTCCTCTAGCGTTAGCAGCTAAAAACGGCAGGTCAACTCTCGTTTTAAGGCTGTTGGACTCTGGAGCAGATGTTATGGGATCTGGTGGAAAGAACCCTTTGATATTGGCAGCGGCTGAGGGGCACGTGGAAGTTGTTGAAATTCTATTAGACCATGGTAAGTTGTGATTTAGACTAAATAATACAATATAGTCTTTACCCATAACTTTGTCCGCGTGACCGGGTTATATTGTTAAATGAGGATAAAATGATCTTTCCTTCTCCATTGCAAATAGTAAATGAATGCTACATTTCGTAACAATTGGTTAGGCTGTTAAAACTCTAAGAGGTAACAAACAAATAAACAAACTATTTTAATTCTTCTAATATTATAAATGTGAAAGCGAATTTGTTTCTTACCATTTGTCGAACTAACAATTTAAGCAATCATCAAAAAATTTGATGTTTTGATATAGAAGGACATACTTCTTATCCCGGTGAATAAATATCTTGGTCACGCGGAGAAAGTCACGGATATAGGTAAATTAGTAGCGTAAAAATTACATACTTTTTTTTTCCTGTCCAGTTTCAAACTGAAGAAAGTAATTTACATTTCATACGTGTTTCTAATACAGGTGCTGATCCAGATGCGACAGATAGCGACGGAATATCTCCCCTAGGATGGGCGTGTCTTCGATCTCGAATACACACTATGGTTGCACTATTAGACAAAGGCGCCAACATTGGTAAGTTGATTATCACAGTATAATAGTTTATTATTATAAAGCGACACAGTATACTCTGTTATGTCAATGGTACATATTCATGTCAACGGTTATCACTTTCCATCAATGAAGAGAATCTTACACCCAATGCATTTGTATCTGCATCATCAAATTAGCCTTTATAGGCCAACATAGGCCTCTCCCTTCGGGAGGTTTTGCCAGTATGCCAGTGGATTGGCAACCGTAGTCAGGCTTTAGAGATGTTCTAAGAGGGACACTGCTGCCCATCCCTCTCCCTCCCTTAGTCGCTTCTTACCACACTCACAAGAAAGGAAAGGGTGGCCTATTCTATGGCCGGGCCCACACGGCAAAATTGAATCTGCATATTCAATTCAATTATAAACAATTACTACAATTTTCATGTTTAATGATCTCACTCCCAATGCCTTACTGATGTAAAGATATCAGACTAAGACTAGACTAAGAAACCTAGAAACTTTTGACATCAGAGGTAGCCCTCTAATGTCAAAAGTTTCTAGGCTGCCGTTTCTGAAGAAACGTTCATGCAAACTTTTATTTCGTATATTCGGAAAATGTGCATTATATTTTTGACCAAGATCTTATGTGGGTTCAAAGTACTACTTAATATATAATATAAATATGAATGTTTGTTTGTTTGAATAGCTTTCTTGAGGGCTCGATACATAGTCTTAAAATCCAATTGTGTTTAAGGCAGAGAATCCTTTTCTATTAGCAAAACATTATCCCAGCCAATCAATATCACGCAGACAAAGTCATAATTAAAACTATTATATTTAGATTTATTTATATTTTAACCATTGATAATATATTTCTAGATCAAGCTGACAACAGTGGCCGTACTCCTCTAGGACTGGCCTGCGGTGGACCAGCAGATCTAGTTGAAATTTTATTGGAACGAGGAGCGTCGCTGGAAAAAGTAGATCATAGCGGATTGAGACCTTTGGATAGAGCTATTGGTCAAAGAAATGTTCATGTAAGTATTTATTTCCTTTACATTTTACTTGATTGTTCTTTCGTTCATTTTATTATTACAATGACAAGAAAATATCTTCTATTTTAATATTTTTTGGCTAGCTTTAACTGGCTTGCAAATAGAAAGCTGTTTATTGAAAAAAAAAATCAAAGGAACATTATGGCACGTGAAAAATTATTATTGTTCGTTATTCGTCATTGAACTTAAAAAGTAAAATTGTATTTTTGATTTCTGCGCGTTGTTTGAGAAAAGTACTATTCAAGCCTTGGCCACAACTAGGTATTGATGGACTTACGTATGTGTGCCTCGGCCCACATTAGCACGTTCGTCCATCAATGCCTCAGTTGTTGGCCGCTGCAGTAATGTACTATTTTTTATAATAGACTCCTTTAGATACTTGATCTTTAATTTTAATTGACTTCTTAAGATTAGAAATAAACACTTAAAACAACAGCGCAGAACTTAAAACTCATATGCTTGGTTTGTTACACTATATAACACTATAGTTCCCTGAAATATTTGAATATTTATCTTATTATCAAAGAAAAATACTTAGGCTAGATTTAATTCCTTCAGGTGGTCAATTGCTTCCTGAAGAAGGGTGCTAAACTTGGTCCTACAACGTGGGTCATGGCATCAGGCAAACCAGAATTTATGTAAGTATGATACTATGTCATCTATTTAACAGAATGTGTATTATTAAGTAGTGAAGTTTTAAGTAAAATTGTCTTTTTTTTTTGTTTTTAAAGATGGCCTTATCTCTATTTCCTGTTATTGTGTTCTGATATTCAATCCTAATCTAAATTTCTCAACGTCAGTTTAGCATTTAAATTTTGAATATTTATAATTAGCATATTTTTTTTTACAAACTATTTCTTGCGTTTTACATAACTATAATTAAACCTACTTCATGTTCTTTAACGCTAAAATTTTTACGCTTAAATCTTTAAAGTAATTAAAAAATCCTTCACAATTACTAGATGGAGACTTTGTACAAAAGTTGTTTGTTTGGGTACCTCTGTCCCATTCGTGTTTCAACCGTAAAGCAGTTGTGTTTGCATGGCTGTGTTTTGGTTTGAAGGGTAGGATATGGCGTGAATTTACAGGGTACAGAGGAATAATACCTGAGTCCTCAGGAATGGCGACGCAAGGGGGTATCATGGGTGAAACAGTGTACTCTGTTATGTCTATGGTACTGCTCATGTCTATAGGCGACGGTTACTACTTCCCATCAAGTTGGCCGTCAGCTTGTTTGCCATTTTAAATTGTATAAAAAAATTGAAATCAGGAATTAGTTGCCCAGACAAGAGGAAACTCTTAAATAAAAAGAAAGAAGAAGATTAAGATCAGCATGTTTCACGTCAATAATTTTACAGGCTAATATTACTGAACAAGCTGCTGGAAGACGGCAACATGCTATACCGAAAGAACCGTCCGTCAGAGGCAGCTCATCGGTACCAATACGCCCTGAAGAAGATCAACCCATTGATCAGTGACGAAGGCCAAACTACGCCAACCAGCCAACCGGTGCCGCACGAACACGTCTCCGCTTTTGTGCAGTTGAAAACGAATTTGCTGTTAAACTTGTCGAGGTGTAAAAGAAAACTAAACGTGAGTATTCCGAAGGATCTTAATTTACTACCGACAATGTTTATAATGCAATAATTATCAAATTCCTTTTTATACGCACGAACTCTTTTGTTAGAAAGGTGCATCTACTCAATTGATGAATTTTAAAATACTCTTTTAATATTCTATGCCTTACTAATGACATTTGTAAATTGATTGTAATGTTATTTTTGACAATTATTATTGGTTATTTTGTTGCTTCGTATTTTTTTTTTTGTTTTGTTATATTTTATGATATCTTCTTGTCACTTGTAAAAATATTCAACACAATGCAGTATTGTAACGAATAAAAATAAATTGAAATTGAAATTCCAAATAATTCTCTATAGGATCAATATGGAAATTAAATTTTCTAAATTGACTTGGGTCTTGACGTTTTGTATTTGCTCCAGACGTTCGTTGTCTGATTTTTATAACACAGAGTATTTTAGCTTAATGACCGAGTCTTTTTAGTATTATAACCTATATTCGAAATTTTTAAACTATAATACCAAAATCAATGTAGAAACATACTGTATAATAAGTAATCCATCTGTGTACTAACATTCGTTTAAACTCATTAAAATCAAGGCCATTTAGATTAAGTTCTGTAACGAATATCTTGAATTCCATATAATTTCATAATTCTCTACATTTATAATACTAACTACGTGATAAGATTCTCTGACATAACCAGCTGTTAAGCTATCTTTAATTATTTTTAATATTTTTCTTACAGGAACCATCAGAAGCACTAGATCTAGCTGCGCGCGCTTCTGTTCTGCGCCCAAATGCATTTGAATGCGCGTACGCAATGGCCCGAGCTATCCTAGCTCTAAACAAACCTTCAGAAGCCTTGCCCCACGCTAGGAGGGCCCTAGTTCTAGCGCCTTCCACAGATATATCAGCGATTAGGACTCTGAAGGCATTACAACAAGAGATCTTAACCAGAATCAACACTGGCTCACACAGTTTGAGCGTAGAAACTAGATCTATGAGAAATTATGATACGATAAGTCTAAACATGCCGTAGACGTCTGTAAAATTACTCGACTACGATTTATTACAATAATTGTAATAATATTAGAATTACATAACGATAATTACAATTTTTGTAAGTTTTACAAAATATGAAATAGAATATTGGAATTGTAAAAAAATAAAATATTACAAATGATTTTATATAGAGCTCTCAATTTTTTTACATTAATTTCCATATTTTAAACTAAATGTAAATGAATAATTTTTTTTTCGTGTGTAAGGTTATTTTTAACTTTTTTTTATATATTGAGTGATGTTTTTACTTCAGTGAAATAGTATTATATTACTTTATATCTTCGTAATACAAAATCAAATAGTTTGTATAGATTACAATATATACACTACTTATGTTACTTACAAAAATCAATTTTTAAAATATATTATTTGTAGAGAGTGATATTTTTGTCATATGATGAAATGACATTATAATTATAAATTGTAAATAAATGTAATTCTTTCTTTACTTTACACGTGTAAAATACAACTTATTACAAATTTTGTTACACATAATTCTCGAATATTGTTTTTTTTTTTTTTTATTAGCAATAATATTACTTGCCAATTAATTTTTTGTTTTAAATTCCCAATAGAGGTCGTTTCCAGTGCCTTGGTCTATTCATTTTTAATGTATGAGGTATTTAATTTTCGTTGTTATTTTATTTTTAAAGATAAGGTTTTGAGTTAAACTCATGTATGTGCCCATTTCCTTGCTTTAATTTATTGAGTTATAAGAAAATTACGTATGTAATAAATCTAAAGGGAGGCATGTGAGGATGTCAAAAATTTTTGTTTATAAGCGATATAATACGTATATTGTAAACTTATGAACATATAAAGTGTGATTGTATGAAAATTTATTCAAATTTATTTATTTGTGGTTTCCAATATTAGCTATAATAAAATTTTTAAAAAATATAAAAAAAAAATGTGTTACAAATTCTGCAATGTCATAAAAATCCTACTTCTGTAATTGTAATTTGTAAATATTAAAAAATAATATGAAATAAAATATATTCATACCGTGCTAACAATTTCTATCGTTCATATCCCCATATACTTCTATTGAATTCTTATAAATTTTTAAATTCATAAATAAAATGTAACCCTTCCCTTAGCTTAAAGCCGAAGAAAGTAATAAGAGATTTATAAAAATTTAAAATTATATGTGAAGTATAAATTTTTAAATTACACCTAATACCTCGCTAGAAATTTCATTGCATTTCACATGTGTGTAGATAGATTTAATAAATATATTAATACATTTAATAAACATAAAATATTCAAGGTGTTTATGACATTGCAAAATGTTGTTATCACTGATTTATCTCTCATTTCGAACACTACATCTGAGACGATCGATTCGCGTGAGATAGTAAAGACTGACGAAATAAAAAAAATCTGACTTTAAAAATGCACTTATCTCAGGAGTGGGTAATATATAGTAATATCTATATATCTTAGTTATAATATTATTCGAAAATAGATATCCGACCATTATAGGCGATATAAAAATAGGCGATGACCTTGTTGGACAATGTCTAGAGGAGCCTAAAATATAGATATCGGATCGGTATCAATATTACCCATGCCTAGGTACAGATGCATTGTGCTCATACAGAAGCATGTATGTGAGATTATAGCGAGCATGCTCGAATGTATCTTGCCTCTTAGACTAGAAGTAAATGAAGCTACCGAAACAATACGTTTTGGTTACAGCGTTAAAAAAAGAGAGCGGACGTTGCTGTTTCGTACATGCTGTAGCGAAAATGTATCTATCGATACATTCGTTTATCCTTCCCCTAAGGGAGCAGGCACGATCTTGTATAAATCGATATATGGTTAAAAGCATGCTTTATACTATTGAGTACGTATAAATCAGTGCCTTTAAATGTAAGTACAATAGTTACAGAATTGATAGAACTTGTTCAATATTTTGAAATTTACATTATAGTAATAAAAAATCATATTGCTTAACAATGTTTAAGTTTTTTTTTCTCCCATCTAATTCAATAATTAAGTTACCTAAAAATCGAAACGTTGGCAATAAATAAACAGGTATGTAGCTACTATATACCTGTAAAAACTTTTACATCGCGTTAAATCGAAATTAAAAGTAGGAAAAAAAAAAATCAGAAATAAATTTAAGTATTTTTTATAACTTTTATTTCTGTTTATTTTGTACTAGCTTCTAACCGCGACTTCGTTTGTGTAAACGGTATACTGACCGGGATAAAAAGCATATATCCTTCTCCATTCCATATAGTACGTATAAATCAAATTTCATAACAATTGGTTAAGTCCCTACTATAACAAACAAACACCTACTTCCACATTTATAATAATTTTAGTAAGAAATTTATATAGATTGTACATTTTTTTTATCATAAACATACTAATATTATTATATAAATTTGAAGATTTGTAATGACGTTTGTACGTTTTTGTCTCAATAACGCTTAAACAGCTGAACGAATCTGAAGGAAATTTCTTAAATTATATATCTTAACGCATAAGATATATTTCATATATACTATTTTATTTATAGTTTTTAATATATTCCAATAAAAAATATGATTAATCCAAAATAATTTTATTATGAATAAAACATATATATATTAACGGTATAGTAAATAAAAGAACGCTTTAGATTCAAGATACTTTTTTATTTTAACTTAAAAAAAAACATTATGATAAGTACCACAATATGAATTTTAAACTTCCTGGTACTTACATTCTAGATTTTTTTTTTAATATATAAACACGCTAATTAGTAACAGGAGGCAGAGGCCCGCTTCTTAACAGGCCATTTCTGAACGGTAGCGCACGAGGCTCTTCTAAACGTGAAGTGTCCTTCACTCGTAAATACATTGGCAACATTACTAGAGGTTTCCTTGTGGCCTTAGAAGGAACATTTATGGTTCTAACTGCTGGGACACCACCAGAAGATAATATTCCGAAGTTGTAGTACGGGTTGACACGGTAGTGTACTTGATCGTAGGTAGAGAATGTGACAAACGGTCTACCTATAGGTCTAGGAGCGGCTGGTGGTATGAACACGTGGGGGAAATGAGCTAACGTATGCTGGAGATTTTCATTGGTCGCATTACGCTGATCGTGTGGTGAAGGATATATAACCTCGGAGAAGAAACGGTCGCATTGGGGCGACGAACGCCGTTTCGAGACTGGGCAGGTCTGAAAAAGTATATACATATATATTCATTATTGCATTTGTAAGTTACATATAAAATAATGTATTTATAAATGTTGTGACCAAGGGTGGACTTATCTCTGACAGAGATCTCTTCCAGTCAACCCAGTACAGTGAGAAAGCATTTCGTTAGCGGGCAGCTGAAGTGCTACAACTATTAATACATAAACAAATATACAGTTAAATAAAATATTAAAATATATAATAAAATATTACATAAATACATACACTATAAATACATATAATACCTACCTACTTATATAATAAATGTTAAAATAAATGAATATACTACTTACATTAGAAATTTAGTTAAATTATTTTAAGATTTGACAGTTCAATTAGAAAAATACAAAAAAAATATTACTCAAGGGAAAGAAAATGTGATTTCAACCTTTTCTTGAAAGAGGTAATAGAGGGACTCTCTTGTGTGTGGGAAGGGAGTTTGTTCCATAACTGGACAGCTCGATACGAGAAAGAGTTGCCTATAAAATGTGCCTTACGGATTCCGACTTTAATTATGTTACTAGCTGATCCAGCAAACGTTTTGCCATATAAATTATATCTAGTAAATATTTTGGTAGTTAAATTACAAATTCTACGCCATATGATAGCATGGGGTTCTTCAAAAGGGGAGGAAAGAAGTTTTTTCAGGGTCGGCACGCACGTATCGCAAGCGTTCACATGTTACAGTAACTGCTTACCATCAGGTGAGCCGTATGCTTGTTTGCCATCTTAGTGATATAAAAAAAATAATCATTGTATGTTGAGATGGATTATATGACTAAAATATAAGTATTTTTTATGCTAAATCATAAAAAAATATAAAAACAAAATTTCTGGGGAAGGCCACACCTATCAGGTGGTTGCCAATCCGCCTGCTAAACGTGGCAACTACTGGCAAAACTCCCCTTATGGGAATGGCTTATGTTCATCAGTGGACAGCAAAAATAAAAATACAATAGTAAAGCTACATCCCCTTTTCGATCGCTACCCCTACATCGTCTTTCAGTCCACACTACTCTCTAATCACACTATTTCATACCGTTAACATAGCATCGATAACATTCAGCAATTTCTTCGGCGAGTTGCAATGCTGTTTGTACATGGGTGTGGTTATGAAGGCGCTTGTGTAGATATCCTGTAGCATATACCATGGCCCTTGGCTCGCTGTGCGGATCCTCTCCTTCATTCGGAAGTAATCCATGAAGCCGTATTTGTTTATGACATTCATTTTACCCATTATACACTTTGCTGATTCCGTGGAATCTTGGCACTGAAATACAAAATATCATTTATTGTTAACAGTTTCGTAAACATACATTATATTTTAATGTAATAACTACTAATCAGGTCGGGCTCACGTCACAGCCGCTCATGATTAAAGGCCCCGAATTGTTGCCGAAACTAGTCGAGCTTTCTCGATCCAATTACACGTAAGTTAAGCCGGTATTTATTACATTAAAAAGAGAGACTTTGTACAAAATTCGATTGCTTGGGTACCTCTGTCCCATTCGTGTTTCAACCGTGAAGGAGCTGTGTTTGCATGGCTGTGTTTCGGTTGAAGGGTGAGATATGGCGTGAATTTACAGGGTACAAAGGAATAACACCTGAGTCCTCAGGAATGGCAACGCATGGGGGGTATCATGGGCGAAACAGTATACTCTGTTATGTCCATGATACTCCTCATGTCTATAGGCGACGGTTACTACTTTCCATCAGGTGGGCCGTCAGCTTGTTTGCTATTCTAAGTTGTATAAAAAAAAATTAAACTATATCATTTTTTTAAAATAGATGATAGATGATAGGTGAGGATGAAAGCAATTGATTGAATGATGACTAAGATTTGATTGTTAGAAATTAGTTGTAGACCAAGGTTTTCTCCTAGAGAATTACTTGCTTATAAATTACATAAGCAAAAGATTCAAAGAAATAAAATTGTTGTTAAAAAAACAACTTTAAATGTGGTAAAACCAATTATTTTGATTTACCTACGGAACCAATTTTGATAAAATTTCTATGGCAACAATCAATAAGTATATCCTTTCAGATAAACAAAATCTGAATCGGTTTACAACTGACGGAGTTATGTGGTAACAAACATAAAAAGAAAACACAACCGAATTGGGAACTTCCTTCTTTTTTAAATGGATTGAAAACTCTTTTATGTCAGGGATTTAAAAAGTAAAATACTTTATCTATGGTTTATAAACTAACCCTTGTGTTTTCCCAGTGAGGTTCAGATTTAGTCGTAATCCGCACCGGTACCGACTCCGTGGCGGTGAGAGATGTGAGGTTGCATTCTTCCAATACATCTTTGGATACCAAGCTCGGCAGATCGCAAACAGTACGACGGTTTTTCTGAAAAAATAAATAAATAGAATGGCTTCTATATTTTTCATTCGATATCTAATAAAGATACTCTTTACAATATCTATAGTACAGAGTGAATTATGTTGCTTTGCGTAGGGATAAAAAAATAAATACGTTTAATAATAGTACATTACTGCAGCGGCCAGCAACTGAGGCATTGATGGACGAACGTGCTAATGTGGGCCGAGGCACACATACGTAAGTCCATCAATACCTAGTTGTGGCCAAGGCTTGAATAGTACTTTTCTCAAACAACGCGCAGAAATCAAAAATACAATTTTACTTTTTAAGTTCAATGACGAATAACGAACAATAATAATTTTTCACGCGCCATAATGTTCCTTTGTTTTTTTTTTCAATAAACAGCTTTTTATTTGCACAGCTAGTTCGAAATTTAAATAAAACCTTTTATCAGTTACCTCCTTGGTAGCCATATTTCAAAGTAAAATGTCATTCCATTTTTAAATTACAGGACAGATATGAGTTTACATAGTAATTTATCTGGCCGCTAAACACGACAGATATGGATTTTCATACAACTTTTGCCGGCCGTTGCCCGCATGTATCTGCCCAGTACGGCAATTTTAATTTATCTTAAAGAAGATTGTCAAAATAATGATCACATTTTCAAGCATGTTTGAGAAAAAGTATTATACATTGAATCTATGGATTCTGTTCTCAGTTGAGTTGGCTTTATCGAAGTAATTTAAGGATTGAACGGAGAAAAAATTAAAAAAATATAAAAATAACTGTGCGTAAATTAAAGTTCGTAAATACTTACAGGTCTATATTTGGATGAACTTATTTGACAGGTCGCATTCCACGATGATGATCTAAAAAGGTTATATATATTAAAAAAATCTACAATTTAATAATTTAATTATTATTAAAGCAATTTATATGTTTCTAGTAGACACAGGGCCCAATGATGCCATAATATAAAAAATAATTACTTACTTGCATGGATCATTCTTTCTGTCGTGGTTTGGACAATTCTGAAAATTATTCGTCAATGTTTATAAATAGAATAAAAAATGGCTACACTCACACAAAATAAATAAATAAAGTTTTTTTTTATTTACTACCAAGAAATTAATTTTCAATAAACTTAAAAAGAATGAGATTCTCATTTGAATTATAATTTTTAAGTTTTCATATTACCTACGCGTTATCTTCACAATTTCATAAACTGATTGTTTCTTACAAAAGAAAGTTTCTCTCCTATTAGATGTCATTAAATAAGTCGATTTTGTTTGTGGAATAAAATAAATTGAATATGATATAAAATTCTATAAAAAAATCGTAACATGCAAAAAACATTAGGGGTACTTTTTTTTAAACGGTGTAAATTACAATAGTTTAACAAAACCACAGTTTACACAATACAAATAAAGAATACTTTTCATAGTATTATCTGTGGCGAAACTAACCTCTGAAAGCACATCCAAAGTACATGCCAATATTTTATTAATCTCACACTGTCCTTCGTAACCCAACAGTGGTTTATGGAGGCACTCCGTGATGGCTCGAGCCTTGGCTTTCGACCACTCCGTATTGATGTTAGTGAAATTATCCAGAAATCTGGTGAAAGCGTCCAAATCCACATCACCAGTTGCGGAGAGAACAGATAGTTTAGTGAACACACATGTCTCTTTTTCGCACTGAAATTATATTAAGAGCTAATTAAACTAAGTTTTTAATAAATTAAACTGTTTAAATACGTTATTTTTTATCGTATTTAAACCATCTTTTAAAAACGTTAAAAAAACTTTTTTAACGTAATCCGCCATTTTGTGGCGGCCATTTTGAAATGCTGTCAAATACACATAAACCGCCATCTTGTGTCGGCGACCATTTTAAAAGTATTACAATATTACTAGAGCAAAAAATGTAGGTTTACAAAATTTCTCAAATAAAAAAAAAACTTCATACTTTTTATTACACTTAAAAAGATAAAGCGATTAGTTTAACGACTTATTAGCAAGAGAAAATTATTAGAAGATAATCTAGTACAGGAAAGATACAAGAAAAAAAAGAGCTCTTGTAGATTTTTAAACAGAAAAAAAAAACATTTCATTCATAACTTACAGTGAGTGGTACCACCCGAACATCATTAGCCCTTACTGGGGCTGGGGTGGTGGTGGGTGGTTGGGTGGTGGTATGTACCGTCTGGTTCACGATCGTCAACCTACTCTGACTGTCCCAATATAATGTGAAGTCACATTCCTCTCTCCACGAAGGTTCGATGAAATTGGACATATCACAGCAATTCAATGGATCTTCCGGCTCCGCCTGTAAATTATTGGTAATGCTTTATCCCACTTATATTATAAATGTGAAAGTTTAAAAAGATATCTGGATATATAGATATTTGCATGTTAAAATGTTTGGATATATTAAATATATTAAAATTTTAATAACGTTAAAGATATTTCACTGTTTATATGTTACTCGATCTTTTTTAAACTTGATATAAAGTGACTAGCTGTTTCCAGTGGCTTTGCTTACGTGAATCAGTATATTATTATAAAGTCTCCTATGTGTTAAATTAGAATATAAACTACTCATGTACAAGTAATGAAAATCATCATCGACTTTCGCGTTTTCATTAGTAATAAGTATGATTAAATAGTTGTATGGTCCCAGCGGTAGAGGGATGGGCAGCAGCATCCCTCTTAAAACATTATTAAAAGTCTAACTGCGGTTGCTAACCCGCCTGCCAAACGTGGCAAACACCGGCAATACTTCTTTACCGACCCGGTTAAAAATTAACCTATATCCTTCTCCATTCCAGAATGTATTTCGTAAATCATGTTGTGTTCACTTAATAAACCCGCAGTTCAGCTCTCTAACACATATGTGCAATATTAAAAAAAAACTTACCCGGAGTTGAAGATCAGGGTTGACAATACTAACTTTCTCCAACGGAGGCGAATGTGCAGCGCTCTGAAATATAATTTACATATATTATTATCAAATAAAAAAGCATAACATAATACCCGCCATAGAATAAAGCGAGAAGAGCGGTTTCCCTCCAATTTCAAACTCCAAAGGAATCCAAAGAATAAAAACAATTTGTAGCGCAAAATATGACTTGATTGCGCCTTTTAAAAGGCACGGGAGCATTGTTAGATTATTTGCATAAGTTGATATTTGGAAATTTGGAAATTATTGAAGTATAATTTACGTGTAGTGAAAGCATATACTTTACTGAACTAGGCGTTGTTTTTGATATTAGTCGATTAATATTATTTAGTTTAATTCCGCTTACATTAGTATGCTTGCGACTGTTAACATTTAAAGATCGATTTATCATTCGTAGAAGTTCCACGTCCTTCTATATTAGGCATCAATCTCCGACCGTTATTCAGTCCACGCACATGTTTCAACACGTTTCACCTCTAACCGAAGCAATCGTCAGGCAAATTAATAGATTGCTGCTCGGAACCTAATGTTGACCGTTCGGGGTCCAAACTGCAAATTTGGAGATGAAACACATGTAGTAACATGTGCGTGGAAACGTCGACAATGGAAATCAAGGGCTAGAGCCGACGCTATAATACCTCGAGAATATCAGCGTATTAGAAATTCTATGGGCATCATCATTTATTCCTATTTTCTATAAAGTCATGCTAAGTTCCTTTGATTGTTCTTTATTTGGGGTTACAGTCGTGAGCATATTCATTTTATTTTATACTAACGATCCGCCCCGGCTTTGCATTTATAGATAGAAAGATAAATAAGTATTCTATATTAACTTTGATAGATAAATTTTTGTTACCTTTGGTCACATTATTGTAATTTTATAGGGATCTCCATTTTTTTTAATATCTGTATATATGTACGTTACTGTAAAAGCATAGCTTACTGTAAAAGGTTAGGTTAGTTTTGATTTGGTGAAAGATCCAAAAACAATCTTGTTTTTATAAAGTCCTCACATTTACCAACTCACATTGCAAGGGGGGAAAGGGATTGTGTTAGCAATGGAGCTGTCAAACCCCATTGCTAGCAATATGCCTTATCAGGTCAACCTCCACGTGGTTCCCTCTGGAAACCATCGTGAACAATTCTTGTTGAATTCGTCACGATGGGCTAAATGACCTACTTCATCCTCACCTATCATCCTTCACTGGTGCCCCGCCGATGTATACCGATAGCGCGGGTGGGGTTACCATTCCATTATCATCCATTAAAAAAAAAACTCACATTGCAAAATCCTAAGATTTACTGGTAAAACTTAAGACTTACTAACGTACGGTCTTTTTTAACATATATATTAAGCTATAACTTACGTTACTCGTTGGTAAGTAGCTTTTGATAGATGTAAGAATTATTAAAATTGGTTGAGTAATTTTTGAGTTTATGAATTAGAAATAGACAAAGAAACATGGAAAAATCAAATCCTTCCTCTTTATAATATTAGAACTTAGACTAGCTGTATCCAGCGACATTACCCGCATGTTTTTTTTTTTATTGTTAGACCTGATGGAAAACGACTACTGTCGCCCATGTTTACCTTTAACATGAGAGGAGTTGCTTGTGCGTTGCCGACCTTTTAAATGTTTATAGGCACATTTTTATTAAAATTCCCTATATTATATAAAAATATACAAATTAGAGGGAGACTTTGTACAAAAGTCGATTGCTTGGGTACCTCTGTCTAATTCGTGTTTCTACTGTGAAGCAGTTGTGTTTGCATGGCTGTGTTTCGGTTTGAAGGGTGAGATATGGCGTGAATTTACAGGGTACAGAGGAATAACATCTGAGTCCTCAGGTATGGCAACGCATGGGGGGTATCATGGGCGAAACAGTATACGAGTACTCTGTTATGTCCATGGTACTGCTCATGTCTATAGGCGACGGTTACCACTTTCCATCAGGTGAACTGTCAGCTTGTTTGGCATTCTAAGTTGTATAAAAAAAAATTAATTACTCATAATTGTAGAATTAATAAAATTTACATACCTGAATATAGGGTACAGCAGTCATTATTTTCGGCGTGTGCTCATGGTAACGAATAACAGAATCGAACCCACACTCGTTTAGCACAGTGCTGTTAAACAATATCGGCAGATCGCAGCACTTGGATTTGAAATACTATAAAAACAAAAAAAAAACAATAAATTATCTTTACACATAATGAAAATATCGTCATCATCATCATTTCAGCCATAATCTGTCCACTGCTGGACATAAGCCTCCCCCTTGGGAAGTTTTAACAGTTGTTGTCACGCTTGGCAACCGCAGTTAGGCGTTGGAGATGTTTTAAGAGGGACGCTGCTGCCGATTCCTCGCCCTCCCTTAGTCGGCTCTTACGACACCCACGGGAAATAAAGAGGTGGCCTATTCTATGCCGGGATCACACAGCCAAAGAACTATATGATCCAAAAAATATTATATTTCTTTCCTCATAGACTATCATAAAGAACGGTCCTGCCTCCTGCATCCACTGACTCCCTACAATGCATTTGAGGTCATCACTCCATCTAGTGGGGGATCGTCCTCCACTTCGTTTGCCCGTACAGAGTCGCGACTCAAGAACCTTTCATCCCAATCGGTTGTCGATTTTTCGAGCTATATGACTAGCCCATAGCCACTTTATCTTGCTTATCCTTCGAGTTATGTCGGTTACTTTGGTTCTTTTGCGGATATCCTCGTTTCGAATT